ATCTGTAAAACGTGGGCACTGATTCTTAATGTTGTCATTGCAGCTTTATGTGATGGGTTTTTAACAACTTCTAAATATTTTTCAAAAATATTATCAGTTTTTAGTAGCCTGTATGTTTTTATGATTTTTTCCTTTATTATCATTGTGCATTTCATTTTTAACAAGTTCAGTGTACATACTTTTTTAAGACACTGTTTATAATATTGTCATCGTTGGCATCTACATCAAGTAGATTGAAATTTTTTTTAACTTTGGTGACCCAGTTGTGGGGATTCTGACTATCTAAATGGTTCCCAAGACTGAATGCTTCTGCCACCAGTGTGTTATGGGGCATTTTATTTATTTTAAGCCAATATTTTAGCATTTGCTTTATGCTGGAGAGAATCAAAGAGTATCTGCCCAATTTTGCCAAGTTTGTTGCTTTACAGTTTACCTTCAATAGGAATTTTCAAAACTTCACATGAAGTTTCTCCATTGGAGAAGAGGTGTCTAACATACATTTCTTTGAATTAATGATGTTGGATGTCCATACCTCACTGCAGTACAATGGGTTTGATGATTGAATCAAACATTTTCGAATATATTTTTACAGGGATAAGTAATTGTTTAATCTTGAAACCTGCTTTCGTAGCCCTGTTTTTTAAATATATTTGTGCCATGTCAAGTTATATGTAGTTTAATTCCAAGATAAACATAATTTGATACTATTTCTAGTTCCTGTTTTTTTACCTGAAATTTCATTTTTTAATTTGCCAGATTTATTAAATATGATTACTTTTGATTTTGTTATATTTATTTCTAATTTCCATTTGTGGTAGTATGTAGATAGTGCATTTATAGCATTCTGTAGGCCCTGTTTTGTCTGTGAAAGAATTAATAAATCACCAGCATAGAGTAAGCATGAAAGATGATTGTTTAGTAAGGTAGGTGGGTCATTGTCAGATGAGTCTATATGATGTTTGATGTCATTTATGTAGAGATTGAATAGTAATGGACTTAGTCCATCGCCTTGTCTTATACCTCTTTTTACAGGGAATGTCTTGGTTGTTCTATGTTTCAATAGAACACGACCCATTCAGATAAATGGATTTATTATTTTATAACATTTTCCTGAAATGTCATGTTTTCTAAGTTTGTACAGTAAGCCAAGATGCCAGATGGAATCAAAGGCTTTCCTGATATCAATAAAACATACAAATAGGTTTTTCCCATTCGTCAGATATTTTGGCAATAATTGCCTTAATACAAATATGTGATCTGTAGTGCTGAATTTTGGCATAAAACCAATTTGTTCCTTGATTAATGTGTTATTATCTTTCATATGACTTATTAGTCTATTTTTTTTTTAAATTGAAGTGAAAAGCTTGCTTAATGTATTAATTAAAGTTATTCCCCTGTAGTTTCCAGGGTCACAATTATCTCCTTTTTTTAAATATGGATGTTATTATACCTGGATTCCAACAATCTGGGAAATGACCAGTAGTTAGAATTAAATTGAATAACTTTTGTAATGGACTGATTAGTATGTGTCTACCTGCCTTTATCATTTCGTTTTTTTTTTTAGTTATTATATCTACACCCGACGATTTACCATTTTTTAGGTTCTTTATAGCTGTGTGAATTTCTAGCTGGGATATACTTTGGTATAATTTATCATGAAGTATATTTAATGTTTCCATTTGTTTTAGCTCTTCATGTATGTGCAAGTCTGTTTGTGTTTTGTCTGAATTTAGGTTTTTGAAGTGGTCATACCATCAGTGTCTGTTTGCTTGGGTTTTAGTTCTTTTATTAGGTCTCAATAGTCTTTTGTACATGATTTACTCTACCCTTCTAATTTTTGTAATATTTCATTTTTAAATTCTCTTTTTTTTCTTCTATTCATGCTTGTATTTACATTTTAGGTTGTAGCATTTTAAGCTCAAGTCTTTATTATGTGGTTTTGAGCTTAAATTATTTGATCATTTTTGTTCACCTGTGAACCATTTTGGTTTACAAGTTTTTTTGTGTTTCTCTTATTGGTTTTACATTTCTTTATAATAATACGGTTTTTTTAGACAATTGCCAGCTGCCGTGAGATATATTTCTGAAAGTAAAATACTTGCTTGATTAACTGTTGGGTTTTATCAAAATCTGTCACACTGAAATGTTTTATTAAATTTTGCAGGTCTCTTGTTTGTAGGGTATCAGTAAAACACAATTTGGATTCACTATTCCAAATATATTGGTAAAATGCATTTTTGTGAGGAATAATGTCTTCTGTCCCTCTCTGTGTATGTAACTCATCATGCTGACTAATCTGTGTTTATACCACACCATATGCCAACTTATAGCATTCATATATACACCACACCTTATGTCGGCTGACGGCATTCATATATATATACCGGTACTACACCATATGCCAACTGGCGGCATTTGTGTATATACCTCGCTATACGTCGACTGACGGCATTCGTATATATACCTCGCCATATGTCGGCTAACAAGATTCGTCAAATCCAACTAAAAATAGTGTTACATGCATTTTTTTAATAAAATAAAAACAACAGTAAACTGCTATAAAACATTTTAAAAATGCACTCAGTTTTGGACATCAATTTTCTCCGAACTGAGTACGGCGACCCTGTATTATTTCATTTTATTTATCAATGT